TCTTGCAATGAGACTTCCTGCAATGCGTTCCGCGTATTTTTAAAACCTTAAAGGATTCAAACTAATCTCCCATTTTCCATTATTTGAAGTCATTCACTATACAAATTATCTTTGTAAAAAGAAGTGTGACACCCAGTAAAAAATTATAGAATTACAGAATGTAAAATATACCGGGTGATTCACGAGAAACAGAACACCTAAGTATCTCAGTTCGACTTAAAGCTAGAAGAAAATGTTAGGTCATTTGAAGGTCATAGTGTAACACATCGTTGTACTCGTCTTGACGTCAGCTACAATCTTATGATGTTGAAAATATAGGATGTAATCCAAAAATTACCGACCTCCAAAAAACCTTGAAAATTACAAAATTCTGAAATTTTTGTTATATCTTCATATTTGCCCCCTTAAACAGTACAACTTTTTCCTCTAATATTTTCTTCTATTTTTAAGCCGAACTGAAAAAATTAGGTGTTTTGTTTTTCGTGAATCACCCAGTATAATAAAAAATTAGTAAATATATAATAAAATATCAAAATATAACTAAAATAATATAATATAAAATACATGCAGAAAATAAAATACAAAAATGAAAACACTTTTTTTTATATTTTTAATGATAATATATAAAAAATATATAATATAAAATAAAATATATAATAAAATATAAGGAAACAAATAATATTAAATTTCAATAATATTAAATTTTCAGCGCCTCTACCACGCCCGCGCTGACCGCCGCGGCCTCGGAATTGGTTGTCGCGGCCCCGTCCGCCGAAAGATGTTTGAAGGAACTCTTGTAACGTGCTCGCTTGAGCCTGTAAAGGTGAGGTCCCATGAACGTAATGGTCGTGTTCGGGCAATAAATTATCCGTGCTCGCCGGATTTTGTTCGAAAACACATTCCTACTAGCGTCCAAAAGGTCGCTAAATGCGACGACAAACGGTTTGGAACCACTTGAAAGGGTTGATTTTTATGAGCGTTTGGGTCTCGACCCATCGTCTCGACTCGCGAGCACGGGGCCTATTCCATGAAAAAAAAATCGACCCTTTCAAGTGGGCCGAAGTGAGATCCCCAATACTTGTTTTCACCGAGACCGTAGGCGCCTAGGGTCAAACGGGCAATCGACTCATCAGTTTTTGATAAAATCGAATTGTTTATTCTTCATCGTATCAACGTGAACGCGATGCCGTTAGATTCTTGGCGTTCTCCTGATTAAAATGATATCTCACGTCGCATAAATCGAACTATTTTTAACAAAATAACTTTTCAATCATGCAATAAGATTTTGCATATAATTTCGTTAAAAATAGTCCGATTTACGCGATGTGAGATATCATTTTGATCGTAGAAGCATCAGGAATCCGATGAAAATTGTCGAGGTTGGTATTTTCAATTCTTTATGACACGTCCCCTTGTCGACCGCTCGTTGCGATGCTGGTGTCTGGTCTTTTTCGGGATTCCGTGCTCGTTTAGGTGTTCGCCGCTCGTTGTGCCAGTTCGCCTGGATCCATCAGACCCTCCTGCGCGAAGAGTTGACAGTTTCAAGTGGACGTTGCTCGTGCTCGCCGCCCGAACTTACCTTCATGGGACCTCACCTTAAGGCCGAGCTCTGCGTACGAAGGGCCTTTAACATAGACCACCGCATAAGCTCGGCCCGCTTACTTCTTCCGCTCCTAGCATAGCGAGCTACGTGTTCTGTAATGAGACAAAAAATAAAATTATTGGTAAAATGATTTCTGTAATTAAAGTAAAGTCTCCATAAATGTACAAATTTGTTTACCATAAACGCACAGAAACCATCTCCACCAATGGGGGGTATACCCCTTCTAGGATTTCGGACGCTGAGCAATGTAACATGATCATATATTCTCTATGTTTGCCGACGAGCTTCGAACGTAGAGAAGAACAGCGAATAAAGAAGAAGACGGAGAACTTAATGCAACAACTTAATACAACAGTGAATCTTTTTTATAAAACTTTTACCACCATATTCCTGAATTTTTCTGATTAAAAGGAGATCAAACACGACGTAATTCGCAACATATTTACTTGTAACAACTTATTATGTGTCATATATCGTAGAACCCTAACTAAAAAAAGATGCATGGTAAATATCGTCAGAATTATATCGCGTTTGGTCTCATTTTAATCTGATGATAAAAGTTGTAAAACAAAAAAGTTAATAATAAAAAAGTTTCACCGTTGCATTAAGTTGTCTCACCGACATGCCCTGGTGTTTTCGATCCGTCCCCTTCTTCATTCGCTGTTCTTCTACACGTTCGAAGCTCGTCAGCAAACATCAAAGAATCTTTATAATTGGGGTGGCCAAAAAGAGTCGTATAGGGCTCGCATGGTAATCCATGGTGTATTATGTATTTACCGTTTGTTGGCGGAGGGTGGCGGGGGCTGTTCTTGGGGCTGCGGCGGCGGTGGCCGTGCCTCTGATTGCGGCAGTGTAGGCCCTGCCTGCGGTGGCGTTTGGGGCAACACGGGTGGCAGGGGCGGCTGCGAGAAGGCCGATGTTGGCAGGGGCGGCTGAGACGGTGGCAGCGAAATTTCTAATAAAATAAATTTGACAAGTATAGAAATCTTTAAAATTTAGTTTTTTCATTTGTACGTTTATCGATAATAATAATTAAAAATTACCGTCGTCAAGGAGCATGTCCTCATAGTTTCTCTACCAAAATTAAGAAACAATTAATTCAACATATTTACTAAATAAATACATTCATGTTTGAATAAATATTTATATTAAAATACTCTTTTCTTGCTAATTATGATTATTATTGAAAAATTGAAAACGAATTTATTTCTGGTAAAAGAGTTGGTTACATACGACCCACGTGTTAACAGGTAAAAGGTTATAAATACGTTTTAAACAAAAGTTGTAATTAAAAGAGTATTTCAATAGTATTTTATTTATTACTCACATTTTTTTGCGCCATTCTTGTTGATAATTAATATCTAAAGTAAAAAGATATAAGGTTAATATAAATTGAAAGTAACGCAATAGTACGTAATTTTATTTTCACTGTTACGTACCTGTCTATTCTGGCTAACGTCCTTTTCACTTTGAACTATGAATCGTGAACCTTACCCTTAACTGTGATGCCCATTCTGCACCTAGTCGTGCATACGTGACGAAAAAACTGAACGCGCAGTATCACCAACCAGTTCAGGACGATTTTCCCAGACGCAAGTTAAAAAATCCCTAAATTTTATTTAAAACTCCCTGAAATATTCTATTTATTAATTTTTTTACAATGTTGTGATTACAGTTCAATGTTCAATACGTTCAGTACTATATACATGTAATATAAAAATTATTTAAAGTCATTTGCTGGGCAAATTATCTTTGTAAATTTAGTTGTATTCAAAATAATGTAAAACATAATAATAAATAATCAAAAACTACTTACTTTTCGTGCAATATTTTAAAACGACCGCATACGGCCCGCGGGCCGGACGTTACCCATATAGGGTCTAGATGTTCGCGGCCTGGAAGTCAAATGCTTAGCGTGGCCAGGCAAGGTCGTGTCGATGAATAAGAATTATTTTAAAACGCAAAATAATGATAGTGTACTCATATTGTCAGGTTTGCCGCCATTGAAAACCCCTAAACAAATTCATTTCAAAAATTTGTCCTCCAGAAGTCCCTTTAAAAAAATCCCAGCTCATATGTTTTTTACCTAATCTAGAGTCAAACTCCCCAAGTTGGCAACCATTGCAGTACTATAGTTATAATTAGCGATGTGTGGTCCCAATCTAAAGACGCGCTGGCGACCAATCACAGTATATAATAGCAGAATCGACTACTAGAAATATAAATATAATATATAATAAAACCTGACGCACTTAGTCGCCCATAAAGAAACAGACAAGAGTAATGAATTGAGAACCATGGGTCTTTGAATATAACTAGAATAACTAGAATACTGCGCGTTCAACTTTTTTCGACGCGCATGTGCGACTGGGAGAAGAATGTAGTAACATTGTATTCTTATACGTTATCTACTTTTGTTGCAAGAATTCGTTTTAATACCAAGTTCTTTTTAAGGATTGGTTACCTTTTTATTATCAAACCATTTGGAAGGATTACATTTGGTAAGTGACGTTTACATTTACTAATAATATATATGATATTAGTGGTTACTATAAATTTCTTGTTTTTTATTTTAGGTTATGGTTTTAGCATCAAGTCCTTTAGCAGGATTAAAGGGCCTAAGCAGGATAAGGATAGGCAGTCGGCCCCCACCCCAATTATCATTGCTATTATGTGCCGTGCAATGCTCTTGACCTAAAACATCATCTCACAAAGTTTCAATCCCCCCCCCCCCTCGTTTAAGAGTAATATGAGGGTAAACACCCTTAACTTTATTATTTTTTTTCTCGGTTACTATTTCAGATATTTAAATTCTGTAAAAACGAAAATATTCCTACTCCTACTTATAAACTGCATCTCATATATTTTTTTCAGGGTATCTTTATAAGAGTAGAAAATAAATAATTTATTTTTTGCGGGTGGTAATTGCAAAGAACCCTGTGAGTGACACCTACCAAAAAAATCAGGAATGATGATCGGTTATTTAACAAACACAAGTAAAAGTTTCAGAACGGTCGAAATCCTGGAACATGGTTAAATAATTAAAAAATAATTTTTTCGAAAAAAAATTTAACCGACTTCAAAAAAGGTACAGTGAAAAATATGAAATAATTTCTAGGTAATTTATATGAATACGCACTAGCTCTAGATAAAAGTATGGGAAGGATGCAGATGTAATGCAGTGAAAAGTGTGAAGTAATTTCTATTTAAACTGCATTGTTATTCACCATCGTTTTATGAATTTGGTTAAATTATTAAATATATCATATCAAATGCAATGCACCTTTTTCGGAGGCGGCGCAAAATTTAGAATTAAGTTTATTAAAAATTGTTAAACTTGGTTTAACTTTATGTCGGAGAAACAAAAAATATGGTCTTTATTTATTGCTATCATTACATCCACTCTGACATCATATTCATTAACACTATTCAATATCGCCGCCCCTACCAAATACTATCCCAAACCTATTCAGACAGTATTTCCATGGGGAGAGTTTATACATTGGCAGTAATCAATATTGCCGCCCCTCCCCTCCAAAAAAGCCCCAAATCTACTCAAACTATATTTCCGTGTACATATTATATACATTAACTATTAATTCCACATAGACAATAAATATAAATACATTGACAGCATTCAATATTGCCGTTTCTACCAAAAGATAACCCAAACCGGAATTAAAAATTGTTTACATTATGCGCCGCCTCCGAAAAAGGTGCATTGCATTTAATATGATGTATTTAATAATTTAACCAAATTCATCAAATTATGGTGAATAACAATGCAGTATAAATAGAAATTATTTCATACTTTTCACTGTACCTTTTTTGAAGTCGGTTAAATTTTTTTTCGAAAAATTATTTTATTTCACTCTTTTTAGTAGCAATCTATAACCAATAGGTTTCATGCAATAACAATAGTTATGAGCAATATACAGGATGACCCAAAAACGTTGGAGGTCCTTGAAAAGGGTTGTTCCGCGGGGAGGGGGGGGGGGGGTTGAAACAATTTTTCTTCGTTAAGGAGATATTCCAGAAACAGAAACTCCCGACCAATCAGAGTGCCGGAGAAACCTATGCTACCGCAGGCGCTCCACTGGCATACTCGCGCTCTGATTGGTCGGGGGTTTCTGTCAGTATCTCCTTAACGAAGCCTCGAACAACATTTTCTGTTCCGAAAAGTGGATAATGTAGAGCGGCGCGGTATATGCGATTATCGTACACCTGGTGGCATCTCACGCGACTATATGTAATAACTGTATTGACCCCCACGGTCTTGAACGCGAACGGAGAGTTACGCAACAGTTAGCACCTGCCGCGACTTGTTTTTCTATACGGATTTCCGAAGGTACCGCGGCGCGGTCTTATAATCCGTTTATTGGCTGGGCTGAGTAAACACCCTGCCACCTGGCAGACCTTTGTCGCTAATAGGGTGTCCGAAATCCATACGACTCTTCCTTCTGCGGTGTGGCATCACGTTTCCTCTCAGGACAATCAGGCGGATTGTGCCTCGCGGGGTGTCACCCCTATGGAATTACAAAATCATGCCGTTTGGTGGAATGGACCTCCTTGGTTGAGATCTAACGCCACCGAGTGGGCCGTAACATCAACTCTAGATCCGTTAGAATCCCTTCTAGAAAGGAAGTTACACCTTGCTATCGCCAAGCCAGATGAATTCTCGTCTGAACCATGAACGAGATTGCTGCAAAGGGTGTCTTCGTGGTCGCAATTGCTCCGCATTACAGGAGTTCTCTATCAGTTCCCGGATCTGCTACGCCATCGTAACGTGGATCGTTCACATTATTTCGGTGTCGCGAAAGCATTTTGGATTATGTTCCTCCAGAAGACTTGTTTTAATAACGAGCTAAAATGCTTAGTCGCTCGTAAGCCTATACCTCGTTCGAGTCCAATTTGGCGACTCAATCTTTATTTAGATGAGAGTGGAATCATTCGCGTAGGGGAACGTTAAACCATGCTCCGCTACCTGAAAACTCCCGACATCCTATAGTGTTGCCCGTACATCGCGTTACCGAACTGTTAGTTCGACACTGTCATGCACTTTCGTTGCATGGCGGTATGCAGCTGACTCTCGCAGTACTCCGCCAAGAATTTTGGGTGGTAACTGCACGGCGTATGATCAAATCTACCATAAACCAATGCATCCTGTGTATTCGCCAACACGCAGCAGTCCCTCAGCAACTCATGGGGGATCTGCCGTCTGTTAGAGATAACCCGACTCGTCCATTTTCTAACGTGGGCGTAGATTATGCAGGCCCTTATTTCGTCCAAACTTCTAAGGGACGAGGGCATAAATCGCATAAGACATACCTCGCTCTTTTTGTGTGTTTGGCCACTCGCGCGATTCATTTAGAGTTAGTCAGCGACTACTCTACCCAGGCCTTCTTAGCAGCACTTAAACGATTCGTATCTCGACGTGGGTTACCAAGTATGATCTATAGCAATAACGGTACCAATTTCGTAGGCGCATCTAGCGAAATAAGATCAGCGATTTGGGATTCGCTCCTCTGTCAAATAGAAGCGTGCTTAAATTCTCGGCCACTTGTACCTCTAAGCGATGATCCGAAGGATCTTACTTATTTAACATCTGGGCACTTTTTGGTAGGGTGTACGCTTCTGGCTCTCCCAGAACCATCCGTGGTTAACGAAAAGTTGAGTCTCCTTAATCGTTGGAAATTGGTCACACAAATGGTGGAACATTTCTGGAGTCGGTGGCGTGACGAGTACCTGCATGGTTTGTAGCAACGAGGCAAGTGGCTGAATAGATCGCCTAATATCGAGATAGGACAACTCGTAATAATCCGAAGTCCGAATCTGCCTCCTTCTAAGTGGCATTCGGGTCGCGTTATTAAATGCCATCCAGGTCCTGACGGCCTGGTACGCGTAGTAACGCTTTGAAGACAGTCGGATGAAGTTAAGCGACCACTCGAACAGGTAGTTGTACTTCCTGTGGAATCTACTCAAACGAGCGCATAACCTTGGTTCCGATTGGTACTATCATTTCACTCCCCTTGCAGTCGAAGTGAACAAACTGATTTAAGTTTTATTTGTTTTTTTTTTTCTTTCCTAATTTTTCTTTTGGGCAACCTCGTCTGCCGTCCTTCAAGAGCCGTGGCTTGTTACGGCGGACGGTATTGACACCTACTTATATTTTGTACTTTTAACAGTTAAATTATATTGTGGTTTCGTTCTTGAAGAACGAGGCGGGCGGTATGTTCCGAAAAGTAGACAATGTAAAGCGACGCGGTATATGCGATTATCGTACACCTGGTGGCATCTTACGCAGCTATATGTAATGACTGTATTGCCCCCCATCACTCCTATTTCTTTGTACGCATATGATTTTCGGCTACCACTCCGATCAATAGATCGGTCTTGAGCGCGAACGGAGAGTTACGCAACAGTTAGCTCCTGCCACGACTCGTTTTTCTATACGGATTTCCGAAGGTACCGGCGCGGTTTTATAATCCGTTTATT